TCAGAATTTTGAGATTTAAAGTTTACTTTATTTCTTTTAGAATGATCGGATGATTCTAACACCAAGTATTTATCCTTTAAATCATTCATTGAAACAAGGAGATGATTGGCAAAACATTCAATACCCAACCAAGCTGGATCTCCAGGAGTTTCTAAATGAATTAAATTTTTTATTAATTTTAAATAATCTTCAAATGCCATTGGGGGATCTTCTAAATTTTTTTTGATAGCTTCCCTAGCATGACCAATTCTGTTTTCAATTTCGGACAAAGCTTTTTTAAATACAACAACATCTTTATCTCCGAATAAACTTTTTACTCTTGCATAATCATTTATAACAACATCAAAATCTCCTTTGAGAATATTTTTTTCTATTAATGATGGTAAACAGAAAAGAAATTTAAATCTAGTTAATACTGTTAAAGCATTTCTGGTAGCATCAGCTTTTTCTCTTTTAGTTAAAACTTCTTGAAATAATCTACAAGCCTCTTCTTTTGATATTTGAATTTTAATTTCTAATTCTTCTCCAAATTCATCCTTGCCTTTTAAATCACCTTCCAATTTTTCCTTAAATTTAGCCAGCATGTCAATTTGATCAATAACAGAACCAACATTAGACTTCAAAAATGAAAGTTGTCCTTCCTTTTGAGCATCAACCCTTCTTTTAAGATATGATAAACCAGCTTTCAAATCATCAAAATTTGTACTGTTATGATGTTCTAAAAGAAACCATCCAGAATTAAAATTTTTGGAAGCCAAATCTCCTGAGCCATTTGGAAATAATTCATTTAAATCATCCTCTGGCATTTTATTTTCATTTCCTTCAACAGAGAGACCTAGGGGATCTTCTTGTTGATAGCTTGTAGGAGATAATGATCTCCTACACCATGAAAGTGTGTGCACTGGAGCCTCCTCAACCCATACAGCACTTTCCTTTGTCGGACCAACTGTTTCATGATATGCTCTAAACTGCACAGTGCAACTACCTATTCCACCTTGTTTTGTCGTGATAATTATATCACCTTTTCCTTTCTCGGGTCCCGATCGAGCTATAATTTTATTAGGAGATTTCCAGTCTGCTGAAAGTGTACAATCACAGCCACAAATAAAAACGCTTAATAAGTCATTAGATTTTTGTCCGAAATTTTCTCCTCTGATAGTGATTTTCGTTCCAGGGGGACCTTCCTTAGGAGAAATACCCGTCACTATGGGTGCAAACGAGGATAATACAGTTTTTTCCATTGAAATTACAATAAAATTAAAACACTAAAATAATGACAGAAACTTAAACTGAGTTTTTTTTTTTTTTTTTTTTTATATACATGAATATTAATAAGTAATTAAAAATTATAAATTTGTTATTTCCAAATAAATAACAAAAAAAATTGTTTTAAATAACAAAAAAAAAAAAAAATTCAATAAAATCTTTCATTCAGATACATGATCTGAATAAAATGACATGTCTAAGAACCTAAAATGAAAACACTTATTCTGATTCCACGCTTTACAACTTTACATTGAATACAGTTAAAAATGAAAAAAAATTAATAAAAACCATTTACATTTTATATTTTTTGAATCACATATTACGTATTCTTTTTTTTTTTTTTATTTTAACCAGCAGTATTCTTCATCTGTAAGATTTTACAAAGGGTGATTTTAGTTAAAAGCTTAATTTTTAACTAATATTAAATTTTTTTAAAATTAAACAAATACATACATACATATACATATAAATTGATTTTATTTATTAGAGTAAAAAATGAATAAAAATAATTTTTTTAAACGTCTTACGTACACATTTTAAGAAAAAATAAGGGCAAAGCTTAGAACACAGGTCAAATAAACAAAAAAAAAAAAAATATATTCTTTAGAAATTTCTTATATAAATCCAAGATGTTAATCTATTAATTCGAAAACAGTAAAAACTTTTAAAAACGATAATCTCTCGAATGGGGGGGATTTATATAGTATTCGAATAAATACAATAAAACTTATTCAATTTATTTTATAAAAAATTTATTCATCTATTTGTTAGTCTGTTAAACAAATTGTTGTAACACGTTAATTTTTCATATTTTCATTATGTCTGATAATGGCTTTTACTTTTATAGTGGAAAATATTTAAATAAGCAGGATTAACCTGTTTATGTTAGTTTCACCTGCGACCCAAGCAATTAAAAATACATATTTATATATATACATGAGAATATTATATTTTAATCGAATAGACGTGTTGAGTTTAATTTTTTTTTTTTTTTTACGCAGGATTTTGATCTGGTGAAATAGTTTATTATGATAAAACTAAGAAAAACTAATGCGATTATATGAGCGCATATTTAAGTAATATTTTATTATAAAAGTAAATAAATATTGATAAATGTTAAAATGCTAAGATCAATATTTCTACCGTTTGTATCAAACTATAAGGGTGGCCATATGCGGATTAAAAAATCTATTGCCATTTTCATGCCAAATTATTGCAATTATGAAAATTATGTATTTAGTCGGGATCAAAGGTTTGTTTGAGAATAATTTTTATAAGGTTTATTTATGAAATATTATAAACTAAATTAAAATTTCAAAATTTTTAGTTATACATGTAAAATAAAAATTTATTTAAAAAGTGGTAACCTGATGTGTGTTTAAAATTTTTTTTTTTATAGATATTGCTCCTCTGACACAAAATTTGTTCCAAGAGCAATTAAAGCAACAGCAGCCTCCAAAGATGAAGCTAGAGAATTTATGGGGATATTCCCAGATTTAGTAAGAAGCATAACTGATTCTATAGGGCACAATGATGGGCCAGAATTAGCGAGATGGTGTACAAAGGTTCCAAGACAAAACAATAATATTTTTGCCTATTGTACACTTTTGAAATTTATATATTATTTTAAAGCTTTTTTCTGATTTTAGTTATTGCAATATAATGTTCCAGGAGGAAAAAAAAACAGGGGTTTAGCTTTAGTTGTGACATATAAATTACTGAAGAAAAATGTTTCGAAGGAGGAAATTTATTTGGCTCAAATCATGGGATGGTGCATTGAAATTGTAAGAAATTAAATAGCTTTTGAATGTAAGTCAAATAATTTGGCTAAAGAAAGTATTAATGTTTTTTAAAGCTTCAAGCAAAACTTCTGATAGCTGATGATATAATGGATAATTCTTTAACTAGAAGAGGTCGTCCATGTTGGTATTTAACTCATGATTTAGGAACAAAAGCCTTAAATGACGCACTGCTTTTAGGAGGGAGTTTGTTTCAAGTTCTGAAAATGTATTTTAAAGATAAAAGTTATTACATTAATATTTTAGAACTATTCCACGATGTTATGTTAAAGACATTTTTGGGGCAACATTTAGATACTCATACAAGTTTAGATATTTCAAAAGATTTAAATAAATTTACAATGGCAAGATATAATTTAATTTGCAAATATAAAACATCTTACTATTCGTTTGTGCTACCTATAGCTGCTGCAATGTTTATGGTATGTCACTTTACATATATATTTTGACTTTTCTATAAAATAACACTTGGCAACTAATTTTTATGAGTAAAGGCAGGAATAGATGATCATGAATTACACAGACAAGCCAAAACAATTCTTTTGGAAATGGGTCATTTTTTTCAAGTTCAAGATGACTATTTAGATTGTTTTGGGGATCCTGATGTAATGGGGAAACATGGTACTGATATACAAGATGGAAAATGTACATGGTTAGCTGTTGTGGCATTGCAAAGAATCAATAAGAAACAGCGCAAAATTATGGAAGTATGTATCCTATAAAGCTTTCAATAATTTTTTTTTTTTTACCCTTGCGATTCGTAATTATTATTATTTTTTTAAATGCATATGCAGTGATCCGTTCGAAAATAATTGTATTGTTGAATGGTTTTTTTTTTATATCATGGCTATATTTTTAGGAATGTTACGGCCATACAGATCCCCAAAAAGTAAATAAAATTAAAAAATTATATGAAGAAATTGGAATTCCAGCTACTTACAGCACTTATGAAGAAGAAACTTTTAATATTATATCAACTCACATTCAACAAATATCACAAGGTTTGCCACACGAACTTTTTTTGACACTCATGAACAAAATTTATAGGCGCCAAAATTAGTTAAAAATTTCATATAGATATAAATTATTAATCAGTATGGTAAACATTTGAAATATCAAGTTCAATTTTTTATACAAGTTTTTTTACAATTATTATTACAATTAGAAAAATCATTAAAAATTCAAATTATATTACAGTAATTTAGATAATAAATAAAAATCAAAAAAAAAAAAAAAAATTTATTGCCTTACCAATTAAAATGTTAGTATTGAAAAAAAAAATAAATAAATAAATAATAACAAATTTAACATGAATTTTTGTGCGCGGAATAAAAGTAAAAGTGATACAAATATTACGTATTTATTTTTTTAAATTTTTCATTACAATTAAAAAAAAAAAATTATTGAAATTTAACCGAGCATAATTATTATATAAATAAAAAAAAAATGTTAAGACTACTTTACATATAAAAAGAATATATAAATATTAAAAAAAGGGTAAATTATAAGGGTGAATTTAGTAGTAAGTAAATTTAAAAATTAAGCCAGATAGGAAAATAAGTAACAAATATATCTTTTTTAACAAAAAAAAATTAAATCTAAATGATTTTTAGTAAAGATTCGAACAAAGTACATTAAAATAGTTTAAGAAATAAAAATATATTCTATAATAAAGCCAAGAAATTTAATGTGTTCAAATAATTCATAATAAAAATTATAAATTAATTAATTATTATAAATAATTTAGTCTATTAAGAACGAGAAAAACAATCGACGTTATCGACAAAAAATTTTTTTTACCGTTAAATCCTTAATTTAAAAAATTACAAAATTTGATAATAATTATTTAGTTTAATTAATAAAATTAATGAAATAATTTCCACGGGGGAAAAAAAAATTGTACCGTTAATAATTATTTTTGTTTTATTAGAAAAAGATAAAAAAGTTATTTATTATCAAAGAAATCATAATTTTTTTTATTTTATATATAAAGTAAAACATTACAAAAATTTTGATTAATGTTTGTTAGTAATAAAATTTACTAAAAAAAATTTTTTTTTTCTTTTTTTAAATATTAAAATTAATAATAATAATTGTATTGTTTAATTACTTTATGTGTTGTTGTCATTTCACAGCATTAAAAAATGACTTTCAGTCTTTTGTAAAAATAAATACTAGTAAAAAAAGTTTTGGAAATTATCTATTATGATTGTATCATTAAAAAAAAAAATAATAATAATAATTATAAAATATAAAATTTAATTAATAAACGTAAATGTAAAACTCTCTAAAATTATTATTAATAATAATAATAATAATACTAAATTTAATAATCTAACAGTTTAAATAATTTCAAAATAATTATGCGACTAAAAACTTATATATTCACAAATGAATGAAATGAAAACGTATTACTATTTCTATTATTATTATTATTATTATTATTATAAATAATAAGTTAAAAAAGGTGATTAAAATGTTACAATATAATATAAGTAAATAAAAAAGCTACGTAAATAAATCAAAAGTTACTTGATTATAATAAAAATTTTTTTTTTTTACTAAATATTTGATATCTAAAAAATGATTTCATTAATTCGTTATTAAAATAAGCAAACATTGATAAAGCAAAAAAAAAAAAAAAATTATAAATAAATACAAAATATAAATAACGTTGTATATGTTAAATATGTATATATATAAATAAGTATGAGCGTCCTAAATATTAATTACAATTTATTATTTTTTTATAGCAGTGAAAAATTGGAAGTCTTTAATTGAGATAAATAAATTTATTAACTAAATATATAATTGAGATAATGTCCTAATTATATAACTGAAAATAAAAATTATGGTTATTATGGTTGTTTTGGACATTATTACATACCGTTAAATATAAAATGTAAGCAATTTGTTCAATTCTGTTTTTGTAGCTAACTGTACAAAAAAAAAAAAAAAAGTTCTCTTATAAAATCGTGTATAACAAAAAAAAAAAAAAAAAATTTTTTTCAAGTTTTTCTACTTAAGGAGGTACATAAGGGGGAGGTTTCCTATAAGTCGGAGTAGGTTTCGGACGAACGTTACGCCCCATATCCTTAGTGGAAGTAAAAGGAGGAGGAGGTTGATAAGGACCATCATCAACCTCTTGAACCGATGTATTATTGTGATTTTTTTGATACTCGGGTGGTGGAAGAGGCGGTTTTTCTTCTTTCATGATAATGGGACATTTATTTTTGATTTCAGGCTTTTCTTCTAGTTCATCCTTAAAAAAACGAAAAACAAAAAAAAAATTATTTTTTTAAACTTTAACTATTCCTGGCATGAATAAGTGGAGTATAACTTTATGCTTGAGGAATTTAATTGAGATTAATACCTGAAAAATAAAGAAAATTTTTAAGAAAAAAATCCAAAATACCATGAAAATTGACCAGTGAAAAAAAAGTATGTTAATAATTGTACAAAATTTTTTCTAACCGAAACTTACAATAATTTATCTTTTTAAATATAAAATTTCTAATATTTCAATGTTTATACTTAAGAAAAACATTTTTATAAAATTATAACAATTGGGAACATTAAAAAAAAAAAAAAAAAAAAAACTTTTTACCTGAAAAATAACGGGTATTCCTTTACTTCGAAAACTTTGTCTTTCATCTTCATTAATGATTCCCATTTTATTTGAACGTCGTTTGCAATAGAAAAAACATGCTATTATTGTTGCCACGATAATCATTAATACCACTAGAATAACGGGAACAACAAAAGTAAAAAGATAATCTTCGCTCACTCCTACTGGGAAAAGATTATCATCCAGTGGAGGTACCGAATCTTCTGGCTTGTGCAAAACAGTCAATTCTCCTTGACATGATCCAGCAGGTTCTAATCCCACGGAAATAACAGGAAATTCGTGCCCCATAACGGATACTAAAATGAAAAATTTTTCAAATTAAAAATTAATGTTTTGTATCATTCTATAATATTAATATTAAAAAGTCATACACAAATTGGTTTGTTGCGAAAATTTTCTTACCTAATCTTTCGCTCATAGATTCATCATCATTAATAAGAACTTCTCTGAGTCTACGAATTTCTTCAGTTGGGCACTTGTTTGTAGGCAGTGTTCTATTAAACCACGTTATAATAGTCGAACCCTCACTAATGCTTTCTAAAATGATAGCATCCGTTGAAGAATCACCGAAGAGTTCGGTAATTCGTTCGACAAATTTTCGTTTCAAAAAAGAACTGTTTACAAAAGTTTCGTATAAAACATCTATTGCTATTGTAAATTCTACACTATAAAACTGCTTAGGTTTCGGATGAACTACAACAATAAGGCCATCGTTAGCAGTTAAACCTTCTTTATCTTCACAAACTAACTGATATTCTTGACTTTTAACATCTGATTCCATTGGCAATCCATAAAACTCTTGATTTTTCGAATCAAATTGCAACCACTGCTGAGAATTTAACGGTGTTCGGTCCATGTTTAATAATGATACTTTTAATTTTCTCGTACTACCATCCTCTGGATCATAACAAGTATCCTAGAAATTTAAAGTTAAAATTTATTACAGTGTGTTTATTCATTTTTACAATAAGTATTGCGTAATAATGTCAACAGAGCAAAAAAAGTTAAAGAAACTAAAGTAAATATTAGAGACCTGCATTAAATTAATACAATTAAATAATTTTTGTTTTACATATATTCACCTCAGGGACTTTGAACACTAGTAAACAACCAGCTGTAGCATTGACTTGATCAATTTGATTTCTAGGCACAGGAGAAAAGTTCATGTGAGGATTCACAGGTGGTGATTGTGTATAAATACTCGATGTGCTTTCACATTGTCCTATTCCTAATATTGAAACTTTTTTAACAGAAATTCCACTCCCTATAGCGTGCTGAAATACTTCATTAACCCCTCCTTCTCCATCTGATATGACCTGCATAAAGCAAAACATAAATCATTAATTTTAAAAATTAAAAACAACTTTAAACTTAATAAGAGAAAAAAATTTTTCTTACCTTGAATAAGTTATCAATATCGTTTCGAGGACAGTAACTTTTGGGAAGAGAATCATTGGTCCAAGAGAAAACATAAGGAATCTGATTTTGGGAGATTGACCTGATCGTTATTTGATTAGAATCAGGATCCCCATAAACTTCCACTAATGAATTGACTATTTTTTCTTGCCAATCGAAAGCGTGGGACCAATTCGCGGTGAGAACAATTTCAAGAATAAATTCAAAATTTACTGCTCTATGCCCTTTATGATGTTGAATTTGAAGATTAAAAGTATCAGAAGCGATATCACCATCTTTGTCTTTAGCTTCAATGATAAACTCCCATTTAGAAACATGCTCTTCCAAAGGTCTGCACAATACAAAAGACAAATAAATTCAGTTAATGAAATAAAAAATAAAATATTAAGATTAATTATTTGTAAATTTATTAATAAAATACTAATTTGTCTTACATGGCTAATAGTTCTTGATTTTTACGATCGAATTTTATCCAAGAGTTAGTAGGTATAGGAGTTTCATCGAGATTTTTAAAATTCAGATTCAAATGACTAGTGGATCCATCTTCTACATCCGAAAATGTATTTTCTGGAATTTTAAATCTTAATATTTTACCAGCGGTGGCTGCTATTTTTTTCAGTCTATGAGCAATAATCGGTTTAAAATTTTTAGGTTCGATATCATCTGTTATTGAAGGTGTTATAGTATCTATTCTAGTAGAAAAATTCGAAACAACTTTAAAGCTTTCTGTTGTTAAATAATCAAAAAAACTCTGTTCTGTGATGTTTAAGGATAAATTATCCAAAGTTGTATCAGTACTATTAATTTCGCTCGTATTAAAATGAGTAGGAACTTTGACCTAAAATAATAATCAGTAATAAACGACTTAAATTATGACAAAAAATTTTTTAAATATTTAAAAAAGAGAATGAGCACTTACAATTTGTGATTGACCATGATATTTTTTATCATCTGGCATTTTATTCGGTAAACCAAAAGTCGTTGAGGAAGTAAAGCCATCTTCAAATACTGTCGTCGGTTGAATGGAAGCTTTTTGCGTTGAGCGTTCGGGTAAGAACATGGGAGTCGAAATGAGGACATCGTCATAATCGAAGAGTAAAGAAGTAGATGGTAAATGATATTGAACTTCATTAGGTGTTATTTCATTTCCTTTTACAGTATCAATAATTTCACCGTGATGATGTCGATGTGGATGAGGACTATTTGTAGTAGTAATTGGTTCATTATAATCATCTTCATTATCTTCATCGTCTTCGTAATGATCACCAGATCCAGCCTGATTTAATTTTTTTGTTTATATGTATTTTGGGATAAGTAATCAAATATTTACTAATAATTTATTTATGTTATAACAAGTAATACTTATAAACTGATACCAGTTTACGAATATTCATTAAAAACATAAAACAAATTTTAAATAAATGATCTACAATACCTGTCGTCTTTCTCTGAAATGAAAAGGAAATTCGTTTTTTATATGCCACGATACAACAGGATGCAATAAAACTTCAGATAAAGTACCATCCAATGCTTCAATTTTGATTTTATCAATTAAGGATTTGTATTCATTTTTTATATTTCTTCCACAACCAACCTTAAATTTAAAAAACATTAAAACAAAGTTTTAAATAATTATTATTATTATTATTATTATTATTTATTTGTCGATAATAAAGTAATAATTAATTTGTACCTGAAATGAAACTGATGCACAACTGGAATGCAGAGATTTGTTGATGTTTCCAAAGCCCTCCAATAAATGGAAATCATTAGAAATACTCCATTTATTCAAAAGAGACTTTTCTTCACTTAAATAAATTTGATTCTGTAAAAAAAAAAAAAAAAAATTAATTTAAAAAATTAGGTTTTTTTTTTTTTTTTAAAATAATTTACTCGTAAAAAAATTAAATATTACCTGATTTAATCCTAAATAACCTGAAATATTTTCTACAATTATTATTTTGTTTTTTGGATTTATTTCTTGTAAGCCTACATCCAAGAGTATGCTTAAAAATAAAGAATCCATAAAATTTTCACAATTATCCTGAAAAAAAAAAAAAAAAAAGAAAAATTTTATAAGACCCTATGAATATCCTTGTATGATATAATATGAAATAGGAATTTTTTCATTGAATTTAAACGTTTTTTTTTTTTTTTTTAACTAAATAAGAATAAATTAAGGTCATCCTTAATTTTTTTATTAAATCACAAATGTTAAAAACATGAATGAAATGTTTAAAATAAACCATTTTAAACTGTATTATAATTTTATAATAGTAAAATTTTTTAAGATAATTAAGAAAGTGCTGGTAATAAAAAAAAATATCATGGATGCTAATTTATCGAAACAATTCGTAAGAAATTAATTTTTTAATTTAATAGATAGCTTAAAAACTAAATATTTAGTAATTTATATATAATAAACAAAATAAATGAAAATCAGAGGTTGCAGAGGTTTAACTTAATAATAAATGAAATACCTTAACATATTTCTCTGAAATGTAAGCATCCATTGCGTTTTCAATTACTTCAATCGCAAATACATCACTCGATTTATAAAGCGCTCCTGGAGATACTGCAGTTACTGATATATAATAAATACCTGTGTCATCAACACTTGGCACTCCTTTAAAAACTCCTTTTTGATCAAATACCAACCACTCAGGCAAATCTTGAAATTTATCACCATGCTTTGCATAAGACTGAAATAAAATTTTCCTTATTTAGACAGCTCATTTGTTATAAAAATATTGCAAAAAATAAATGCAGTACGTAGCAAACTTAATTTTTTTTTTTTTAAATACAAATTTTTGTAAAGAAATAAAAACTATTTTGAAAATTGCTTATAAAAAACATTTTTATAAAATTATAGTTAATTACTTCATAATAATCAACATCTCCTTTAAATGAATCATTTGGAATAGTAAATGTGAAAAGTTTTCCAACCAAACATTGTAAATCTGATATTCCCCAAAGCCTGTGAACTGGTTCTATATTAGAAATAATTTGATCAATATCTGAATGAAGTTCTTCAAATGCAATATCATTATCTTGTAAACCAGAAATGGATATTAAATGTAAAAAAAATGAAAAAATAAGTTGAATATATTGCAGGGCATCCATTACTTTCTTATTTTCTTTAAAATTATTGGAAGCCAAAAATAATTTTTTTTGTCTGAAACAAACAGAAATTTTTTTTTTTTTTTTTTTAATTAGGTAACTATAAAAAATTACTTTCGGGAAAAAACTTAACTTTTTTTTTTTTCCTTAAAAGTAAAAGAATAAAACCTGAATAAAAAACTTTTACATTTATCAAAATACAAAAAAAAAAAATTCAAAAATTATAATAAATTACAAAACCTTATCAATGCATTTTAATTAGACAAAAAAAATTTTTTTACATTAGAAAAAATATTACTAAAATTCAATAGCAATGTATTAGCAGCGGAAACAACCAAAAAGTTCATGAAGATTAAGTAATAATAAATTAATTTAAATATTTTATGATTTACACTAATAATTATGAAAGGATAACGATTTGAATTAAATTTAAAAAATATAATTAAAATGTTATTAAATGGCTGAATAAAAAAAAAAAAAAAAAACTTTGGAGTTTCCATTTCCAAAAATTATTATAACACCGGAATTTAAAAACAAACACAATTCCGAATAAAAAAAAAATTATTTCATAAAAATTAAAGAAAAAAATAAATAAGATTTTAAGAAAAAATAAAAATTTGAAAATAATTTTTACACTTAATAATACCTTACCATTTTTAAAAGAATTACTTTTAAGAAACAATTTGCTAGGTTAAGAATGAAGCTAGCTAATGGTACACACACACATTTAAATTCCTGCGACGATTCTTTGCACATAACTCTATAATTTCTTTTATGTGTATTTATATCAGACTCAATGGCTCTTAAAAATTATTATTATTTATCTTTTGAAAATAATATTTTTTATAAATATTAAGGAAAAAATTTTCTTCTCATATTTTATTAAACTCCTGTTTAAAATTTATAAAATATAATAAAAAATGAATAATTTTAAAAAGATAAAAATTAAATGTAAATTAATGAAAAAGATATTATTGTTTCAAAAATAGTTAATAGAAACTACAGAGTAATAAGAATAAAAAAAAATTTACTTATTTTTTTTATTTTATTTCATATTTGATCCCTAAAAAAAAAAGACGGCAGTGAAAAAAAGTTATTTGTAAACCAGCTTTTTTTTGTTAACAGTTTATTACACTTTAGCATTCGAGTTAATAATCATAATCACTTTCAAGGTTTTCATATGTTTGTTATTTTTTCTAATTTTAATTATTTTTTTTTTTTTTTGGTAATTACAATTAACAGATTTAAAAATGATATTAAAAAATAATTTATTTACTACAAAATATAAATCATAAAATTTATTAGCCAAAACAGATATAATGTAATATAACGTTATATATATATATACATCATTTGTTTATTATATATGTAATAATTAAAAAAGTTTTTAATTAGCATTTCATATTTAATTTACTATAAAATAAAATTGTATTGATTTAAGGAATGAAAAAAGTATTGTAAACAATAATGTTTAATTATCCCTTAAAATTATCTTTTTTAGCGCGCAACGCTCTCATTGTATCAATGGCGTTTGAATGACCCACAAAACTTTGAACTGATGTTGTATTGACACGTAAAAATGGATTCGTTAATTTTTCATCTTCTAAAAATTAATAATTGCCTTTTTAATAAATTACTTTTTATTAATTGCATCCTATATAAATAATTATTACGTACTGATTGTTGAAGGTACCGTAGGTTCATTCAATTTCCTTTTTTTTTCAGCCCATTCGATTCGTTCTTGTATATTTGAATTTTTCGGTTCAACCATTTTTGCAAAACTTAAATTATTTAATGTATATTCATGACCACAAAAGACTAGCTAAAAAGTTAAATAAAATTATAAGTATTCCACATTATTATTGACATTTTTTACAATTTTCTTTATCATATTTTATACACATCAAAAAAAAAAGATATTCTAGATTTGTCATTTTTAAGTTTGTAAAGAGATCCTATGCAGCTGAGATAAATGCTTTTGATTTAATTTTTATTTTTATTTATGTCATAGGTTACCTAATAACAAATTTACTAATATTTTAAATATTAAAAATTTTTTTCAAAATTAAGACTGCATTAAAAAATTAATTGTAAATGTAAACTTACAGTGTTATCAGGAAGTTGGCCTAAAATCTCAATGAGTGCTTTATACATTTGTTCAGCACTTCCTTCGAAAAACCTTCCACAACCTGCTATGAATAAAGTGTCTCCTGCAAAATTAATATTACAAATTATTAGTGTATAAATAATTATAAAATTTTTTTAAAATAAGAAAATAATTAAATTTGTACCAGTAAAAACAGCAGAAGGTTCTCCATCTTGTTTAATAAGGTAGCAAATATGTCCTGAAGTGTGACATGGTGTAAAAAGACATTCGCCATGTAAATTTCCAATATGGAAAGTATCATTATGTCCAACTTTTTTCGATAGGCCCTGAATTCTGTCGTCCCCTCCTAAAACCTTAAACAAAAAAATAAAATTTGTTACTTTTATAATAATACCATTAACTGTGTTTAAATAACAGAGATAATAAGCTTACAGTTAAATTAGGCAATTTTTTAATTAAAGCACTATTTCCTCCTGCATGATCCCAATGATGATGGGTAGTTAGTACATATTTAAGATTTACATTTTCCTCACTAACAGCTTTTAAAACTGTATCTGGAGCAACAGGATCAACAATACCCGCATCTTTTGTTCTTACATCAATAATTAAATACATATAATTATCTTGTAATGCAGGAAGAACTTTTATTTTCATGTTTCCACAACTCATTGATTTATACATGGTACTATATTTTAATGCAAGATTTCGGCAATGACTGCAAAGTAAAACAAAAAATAATTGAATATTAAAAGTGATAGATAAAATATCCTATAATAAGTTAGACAAAACCATATTTTTACTTTGTAGTTTTTAATTCTTACTATTGAGAGGAAAAAACACATAAAAGACAATTTAGTTATTATTTTTAAATAAAGAAATTACTGATAATCTGTTAATACCGCAGACCTACTTTCCAAAAACAAAAAAACCAGGTACAAAAATAATTTTTTTTAAATTGAATTGTTTAAAAATTTTTAACATGTTTTCTTAATCTTTACTTTTTATACAATGAAAAAAAATTTAATAGAAAAAAACTTTCTTCAAAAAAAAAAAAAAAAAAAAAAAACCTCAATTTTTATGTTTACAAAATGAACTTTGATCAAAGTTATGAATGGTAATTTTTTTTTCAAAAATTTTTTTTTTTAAAAAAAGATTTACAAATTTTTTATTTTAATAATAAAAAATTAAAGTTTTTTTACCTTTAAAAAGTAGTTTTAACATAAAAAAAATTTCTTTTCCAATAAAAATTGTCAAATTTTATAATTATATTTTGCTACTCACATGAAATTAGTTATAACAAAATAAAAAAAAAATGTAAAATATAAACAAAAATCAAAAATAATTATAAATTTTTTAATACATTATATAATAAATAAAATAAATGTTCAAATTACATAATATTTTCTTATTATAAAATTATAAATAATCTTTTATAATTCTTTTAAATGCTTTGGCGCCTTAAAATAATTTTTTTCTTTTTAAGATTTTTATGTATTGTGTACAAAGTCATATGAGAATATTTACATTTCTTTTTTTTAAACAAACAAAAATAAATTTTTTTTATGCGTAAATTTCATACAATTAAATATTTTTTAAAAAATTTTTGATTAATTTGCAAAATAAGAATTATTATTTTTTTTTATATTCGGATAAAGGAAGTTAAAAAGTGTAAAAGGAGAATCCATAATCCAGTTCTGAACGGTTCAACCAATCAGATTGTTAGAATATTACGTATATTAAAATTCTAACAACTTGTTTTTATGATTATAAAAGATTAAGATGACTCACAAAGTATTCATTTTGTGATTGTGACGTTGTTATAACTGTTATACCTAAAGCCTTAAAAAAAAAAAAATATTTATTTTCTACTGCGACGTAAAAATAATTTTTTTAAAAAGGTAAATATATATTTCAATTACCAAGCTAAAAAAAAAAATATTTATATATATATAAATAGTTTTGTAAGTTTTAATAATTTCATTGTTCAATATTTATCATTGTTTCACAATAGAAAACACATTTACATTTGGTTACACCTAATTTTACAAATTTAATTTTTTTAATTTTTTTTTTTCAATTTTTTTTAAAAATTTTTAATTATTTGAATTTATCTAAATGAAAATAAGAATTTATAATAAGTAAAAAAAAATTTGGCCTTTTGATATTTTAAGAAAACAGCGTTCATATCATAAAATTAATTTACATTGTAATTTCCTTTATATAAATAAACATTTTCATTTTTTTTTTGGGTGAAAAATTTAAAATAACTTGAATAAAATAATTTTTTATTTCAAAGTGATTAAATACAAAAAATATAATTTATGATGTTTTTGTTTCAGTGTTTTATGAAACTAATTTCATAATAAAGTGTTAAAATGCAGGAAAGTGATAAAAAACATTCACAATTGGATGTTAACACGAGGAAAAAAAATCTAACCCTAGATCTACATTCAAATCATA